CAGCACATCCAATTACACCAAGAGTTGCTAAAAGTAGACTATTAGCGGTTGTCAATGGGCACTTGAGATGTTAAATCAAGATGATGATTTTTTTAAACGGGTCATGTTCTCCGATGAGGGTACTTTTCATAAAAATGGTTTCGTTAATAGTCATAATTGCTATTATTATAACACAGTAAATCCTCACCAATTCCGGACAACTCATAGCCAACGATGGTCTTTGAACGTGTGGGGAACAATTTTGGGAATCCATGTCATTGGATCATTCTTTTTTCACTAGCATCTAACTGGATCAGTTTATTTAAACTTTTAACAAACACTTTAGAATATTTATTAGGCGATATTCCTTTAGCTTCACTTCGAAGAATGTGGATGCAACATGATGATGCTCCACCTCACAATACCGCTGCGGTTCGTCAGTTTTTACCACGAAACTTTTCCCAACAGATGGATTGGGCGCGGGGGACCAAATATGACAAGTTGGAACTTCTTTTTATGTAGATTTATAAAAAACAAAGTTTACGTTACACCACCAACTACCGCGGAAGGTATGTGGCAGCGCGTTACAGTAGTATTTCAAGAAATTACGCCAGACATGCTTACCAATGTTGAACAGTCTTTTAAAAACCGAATTTGTTTGTGTATTAATCAAAATGGAGAACTCTTCTAGCAATTGATATAAATCAGCGATCTAAGTATTCTTCCCCTAATTGTGTCCCGAGTTTCAGTTTGTTTCGTATTGCGTTTTGTTTTAGTAGTTGTTAGTGGTTTACTTTTATTTGTCAAACCACTTTTTAAACATGCCAGTAAATATTGACACTTATCAGTCCCAGGCCTGATAAAATGTGAGAGAAAAGTGGTTTTGCAAGGCCTTCTTGATGCTGTTACAAACAGTGGCGGCTCGTGAAGGAGGACTCTGGGACTCCGCCCCCCCCCCCAGATGTTTTCAAACTATAAACTTAAAATAATGTATAAATTTAAATCAATAAGAAATCTAAATAGCATGCATTCAATATCTCTTGGATGTTAGGTTGGTTGCATAAAGTGCATGTACTCCGTGAACGTAGCTCAGATTAATGCCATCTGCCATCTATGATCGTACCAAAAAGTTATGTTTAACCGCGCGCGCAATCTCCACTCCATCGCGGACCGTGAAATCTGAGTCCATCGTGCAAGCATATTTTTACATATGATTGGACAAATTGGCACGTGGAGGGGATAGGCGACGATAGGCTCGCGCGCTTTGTTTTGGGACTCCATGAGGCAGTAACCCGTATCACTGAAGTGTGGTTATATGTGTTTTGTTTTTGCTTTGGCGCTTTTTAAGACATTATATTTTATAAGTTTAAGTTTAAAATGAGGGTTTGTGAAATAAAAAAACTTGTTATTAGTAATTTAAGTTTAGAGGAAAAAGTCGAATTGAAAAATAACGGACGTCCAACGCCAGTGTTGAATTTAGTTGAGGTGCAGAAAGAGTGCAAAAAGTGGGCCGGCTTTCGCAAATTTGATAAAAACATTTATGATAAGACCCTGTGGTTGTGTGGTTGTGACCAAACAAATAGATTTTTTTGTTTTGTATGTTTATTGTTTGGAGGAGGCGAAGAAAACTGGACGAAAACTGGAGTTTCTGACTTGAAACATTTAGAAATTAAAATTAAGAAACATGAAAATTCTCCTAAACACAAAAATAAGTTGGTGAGTTTTTTACTTTTAGGAAGAGTAAATATTGCTTCTTGTTTAAATAGTGCTTATGCAGAACAAATAAATAGTAAATAGTCATAACGAAACAGTTAAGAAAAATCGATTGCTTCTTTCAAAAATTTTAAATATCTTAAAACTATGTGGTACATGTAACCTTTCTCTTCGTGGACATAATAAAAAAAGTGACTCGGTAAACAAAGGGGTATTTTTAGAACTGATAGACTATAGTGCAAAAATTGATCCCGTTTTAGATAAACATCTTAGTGATGCCCATGTTTTTAAAGGAACTTCAAAAACTATACAGAATGAACTATTACAGTAATCTACATAATTATATCCTAACTGGGTTGGTTGATCGATTATCCACTTCAGCCCCCACACGTTGGAATTTTATTTCTCGCATTATATCTAAGTAGCTACTGTACACACTGACAGTATTCATTTTGGGGTACTTACAAAACACAATGACCTTCAAATTCCTTAAAATTTTTCAAAATGCGCCCCCCCTGTATTCAAACCCAGGGGCCGCCACTGGTTACAAAGCTACTTTTTCGGATTTTGGTAAATAACTGTTAAAGAAGTATGGACAACCTTATACCAGTCGAAAGGGAATTCAACTTTGTATTCATCCATGACAATTAATATGGGTCATTCTATTTGAAAAAAAAGTTTTTTAACTCGTAAGATTATTAAATGCAGGTCTCAGTATTTCCGAGTCTGAAGAGGTGCACGTTTTGCTCACAGATGACAAGATAGAGTAATTTAGGCCAAAACGAACTGTGGAAACTGTAGGTTTCTAACTCTTACGGTTTAGATGCTATCTAGCCTCATTTAGAGAGCTGATATCGTGATTGTTTTAAAATACAACTGAATATCTCGAAAAAGTTTTAAACACCATATACATTTAATAAACTCTACCTAATATTAACCAAGGAATTCAAAAACGCAATAATATACAAGGTGTTCCGTTTAAAATAACAAAGTTATGTAGCGCCCACGCGAAATGGAACACCCTGTAAAGCTAAAAATATTTTCTTTACATGGCCCACAGCATTCCAGGTAACTTTTAATAAAACCATTTTTTTATAAATTTGACAGTTGCAGAGTTACAGAAGAATCCCTTTTAAGTGGAACACCCTGTATATACTGTGAGGACGCGTGGGTTGGAACAAATCCATTTAAAATTCAGGGGTTTGTTTTTTGGAAAAACGCTCCTACACGTCGATTCTTAATTTCGGCTGCGGTTTTTCTGATGGTAAATTCATATACAGGGTGTCCCGAAATTAGGGGGCAATATTTCTATGGGGTGTTCTATGTCGAAAAATATTACTTTTTCTTTATATAAACATGGGTCCAAAAATTCTTCCTATGGAAATTATAGCCACTTAAAGGGACCACTCTGATGATGTTTTTTTCTAAATAACTCAGAAACCAGTTGAGATTAATTTATAAAATTTGGTAACTAGCTTAACTCTTACGTGCTCAGTCCGCCACTAAAACGAAATTTACAAATTTTCATCACATACGTTCCAACGTACTGGGGGGAAGGGGGGTAAAATTTACCATAACTTTTTTATGCGTCGACTGAAAATATGAAATTTCATAGTTTTTTTTATTAAAAAAAGGTACTCTTGGTTCATATTCATATTGGTAGAATGTTCCATTTTTATGTAAAATCCGTTTAAAAATAATGTTACATGCGTTAATCACTGGGAATCGAAATTGTCAATATTTTTTAACATCGCAAGTTTTGAATAACAAAAATGTGTTTGACGTTATTTGCATTGACAGTTCAGTTATTTAATTTTTGTGAATTGTTATTTTCAAAGAAATTTATTATTTTTAGTAAATTATTATTTGACAAAGTAAAAAAGCCATTGAAATTAGGAATTATTAAAAAAAATAAACTAATAAAAATAATTGAAAACCACACTATTAATAAAACTTATCTTTATCTCAATAGTAATTTTTATAACAAATGCTCAAACAGATTTCCATTTTGCTGAATATATTTTTCAGCTGGACGTCGAATTGCCCGAGATGAACTTACAAAATTCAAAATTAGTTTGTGTGATTTGATTTTCAGCCAAATAAATGAATCCTCTGTTATAATTCTTCCAAAGGATTTATGTCTGTAGCATAAACTACAGCCTTCATCCTACTCCACAGAAAGTAATCTAGAGGATTTAGTTCTAGAGATCGAGGTGGCCATGGAATGGGACCACCTCTACCTATCCACCTGCTAGGAAAATGATCGTTTAACCAATTTATGACATTATGGCTAAAGTGAGGTGGTGCCTCATCTTGTTGATAGTATAATGTTAAGCGTACGTTTAACGGTGTATCATCCAATAGTTCTCTTACATCATTTTGCAGAAAGTTTAAGTATCCTTCTGCATTCAGACAAACGGTAAACTGAATTGGTCCGAGTAGCTGGTCTCCTAAAATTCCTGTCCACACATTTATTGCAAATCTATTTTGAAAATTTGTGCGCCGTATTGCCTGTGGATTTTCGTCTGACCGGAAATGGGTATTATGAAGATCTGCTAGCTCTACATTGGTAAAATATTGCATTATGAACCAATAGTATCTTTTTTTTACTAAAAAACTCTGAAATTTCATACTTTTTATCATATTTTTTTAGTCAAAAGTCAAAAAAGTCAAAGCATAATAAAGTTATGGTAAATTTTACCCTCTCCCCCCCAGTACGTTGGAACGTATGTGATGAAAATTTGTAAATTTCGTTTTAGTTGCGGACCGAGCACGTAAGAGTTAAGCTAGTTACCAAATTTTATAAATTAATCTCAACTGGTTGCTGAGTTATTTAGAAAAAAACATCATCAGAGTGGTCCCTTTAAGTGGCTATAATTTTCTTAGGAAGAATTTTTACACCCACGATTATATAAAGAAAAAGCAATCGTTTTCGACATAGAACACCCCGTAGAAATATTGTCCCCTAATTTGGGTGGCCCAAAAATAAGTTACGACAATCAACTTCAATTTTTCAAATGCAAATACCTATTTTTTATTTCATTTTTGAATTCTGCACCGAATTCTAAGTACGTTTCATATACTATGTCCTATACCTAAACTCAACAGTTATCGAGAAAAATACGATTTAGAGTAGAGTTAAGTTTTGACATTTTCGAATCTAAGTTATGTAGTCTTACAGTAAATAAATGGTCTAGTTTCTATTACCTATACCTAGTTTTATAAAAGTATTATCATTACGATGTCGAGTATCTATCTACTAATTAACTTTTCTTACTTGCAAAATAAACATTTACTAGTTGTTTTTATTTGCATAAGTATTGTCCAATATTTATAACACTTACTTGTATCTTTTGACTAATTCTGCCTGTTTCAGGAACTTCATGTACTCCTTGAATTGTAGGTGCACAAATCCCGGAATATTACTTGTCGTTATGGTTGGTTCCACTAGTTTAGGTAAACTTAGCAACAAATCCAGATCGAATTCGTCTGGCTGTCCAACTCTTAATCCATCGTAATAGCTACCCCCAAAAAAGACTCTCGTGTACATTTCTTTAAATAAAGTATCCTTCAACTTCATTTTCTCCGTGATTAAATCTAATATCTGAAAAATATCATTTTCTTCTAATTATTGAATGGACTGTTTAATAAAAAACAAATATCCTTAAAATAAAAAATACGCATAAAAATCTAGTGACCATAAAAGTATTCTTTATAAACAGTTTTAAAGGATTACGTGATATATTTTTGAATTTTTGGACGTTAGTAAAATAATTAACAATAATTGTTGCCACCATAGTATTGTTGTTACGATGTCAATTGGAACCTGTAAATCTTAAAGCACAGGACCGTATGAACTTCTCCTGAAATTTCTTCTTATGCTTTGACCATAGTGTGTCTCGTAATTTATACTCGAATAGCAATTCGGTGAGCCCGGTATTGGTAAATTAGTCCGCCTGATGTAGAATTGACGGCGGCGCGCTGGTCATCAGAGCAAACCTGTATTGGTCCACTAGGTCGTAAATAATTTTTTTGTATGGTACACGGGTTCACTTAACTTTGCTGCTTTGCCAGTGCCGTGCAGATCATTGCTTGGCGGGGTATTTTGTTGGTATAGTACGTATTATTATTTATTAGTTGATATTATTATTTGTTCATATCGTAACCAGTAAAGGGTAAGTTATTAAAATAAATGTTATATGTAATTATCTAGTAATTTAGCGTGGCTCTCTGGAGACTCTTTGAAGCGAAAGATAACCAAATAACTCGGGAAAATCCCCAAATAGTGGATTTTAAACATAAAAAACTTGACAATCCTATGGTAATTATATGGTAATATAGCTCGGAATATAGTATATCTAGGGGCTAAATTTTTCTGGACGTCTATGAATTCCGTAGAATTTATGAGTTAAATGTTTTTATGTGGTTCCAATTGAAATCGTAACAACTATAATAGGTCGATTTTTTTAAATGGAGTGGAGCACACATTTCGGACAATCAGAATCTGTGTGATAAAAATTACAATTTTTAGTCATACGTACGAAACCTTAAGAACATCTGAACTTATATTCTAACATTGTTTATTATATTGTTTAATTTTAATTAAACTGATTAACTGATAAAAATATATACATATCTACATTTTGATAAATAATTTCAAATTTGCTATCACTACAATATTTAAAGCTAATAATCACAATAATATTGATCCTGTTAAAAAAACAGGATGCGACTCATACAACAACAAAAATTAGATTACTACAAAGTAATTAGTATAAGATATAAGTAAGAGTACTGTTACAAATTAAAAGAATATTAAAACATATCCAGTAATTATTTTTTTCTGGTTGAAAATTGCGAATAAATATTTGCAAAATTTAAAAAATGTGTAATTTTCTTAAAAATAGAACGTATAGATACAAATCAATTATTGATCATATTTATAAAAATTAGAAAACATGCTTACCGACTTTAGTATAGTATTGTTGCGTTTTATATCTTCATCGGAGAGAGACACAAATTTTTTATTAATGTCTTTGAGGACATTTTCCATGTAGTTATACTTCTTTTTGTCATCCATTTCTCTTATTTAGCCGTTTGAACCTGAAACAATGTACAAGTATCGTGAAAAGGTTGCACTTTATTTATAAATATATACTAGAACAATACGCTTATCTGCGAATTTATTAGATATCAATATCGCGATATCGCGTATGCGTAATAATTATGTTGAATTATTAATTGTATGTTTAGTCTAGTAACAAACTAGACGAAATAAATGTAAAAAATTTCAGAAATGTTGCCATTTTACTACATAGTACTAATCCGTCCTTACCAGTTTTGGAGGTATATTTATTATTTAGGTTTATACTTAAATGTGAACGATATAAAAAATTAGGTTCACTTATTCAGATAATTTTCAAATTCTAATAATATCCTATGTACATACTTACGATTTTCGTAAAAGTGGTTATAAAACTGAGAAAAAATATTTATATAACTCCTATGTCTATGAAACTATAAGCCTGTAATATTTAGCCTGTACATTACAGAACTAAAAATAAAAAAAAAATTATTGGATGAGCAAAAAAAATTAATAAAAGGTGCAAAATTTATCCTTTAATTGAGTGACAATATCAACCATTCAGATCACAATGAAAGAAAAATCGCAGAGGTTTGAACTCTTGAGGGTTTGTTCGGGATCATGTGAGATTAAAAGAAAGTAGAAAATACCCTAAGTCTATTCATTATTCGTAAAGTTATCTGAAATTCAGCGAAAATCCTTAAATATCCAATTTTTTTATTTTGTTTAATCAAAATTCTTGCACGCAAAAATTGTTTTAACAATAAACGATAAGAATGTCTTATAGAGGATACTTTAAAGGTTTCAAATCCCTGCTTAAATTTTTTTGTACGATCATTAGTTCTCAAATAATTAATTATCAAAGCCAAAATGGGGATTTTTGCTTTGAACGATGATAACTCGGCGACAAATTATCGTCTTGAACAGCTCAAATTAAAGGGGATGAATCAAAGCTAAAAGAGCTGACAGGTAGGACTGTCAAGAAAAATATTGAAGCTCGCCGAAAGTGAAGCAAACATTTGGACATTTTTTTCCGCTAGATTTCTTATGATTTCTTGAAGATGATCAACGATAAAAATTTTTTACTTTCTGATCTCGAAACTACAAACTTGAAACCTCAATTTACTTTTTTTTATTGCTCTACAACTATTTTTCGCCAAGATGAGCCTCTTGAAAATTTCCTAAAAATGTAGGATTTTTTTATCCTTTAATTTTTGTGACTAGTATATTATTTTATTTCCAAATAGTGCAATCAAAATGATACAAGAGTACTTTTTACTGCAAAATAGTACTTATATTTATTTTTTGAGTATAACTGACCATACAAATTGAATTGTATTGACGCTATACTTTCGTCTATACTATACCTATACAGGGTGCTTCTTAAGTAGAGGTTAAAAATCCAGGGGCGTATTCTCTGGCCAAAAATAAGGGTTCTTTGTTATACAAATGTGGGGTCTTGGACAGCCATGTCCAGCTACAGTGTGTCAAAAATTAAGTAATTTTTAATTTCTAAACCACTTGGGATAATTTAACTAAATTCGATGTGCATATATAGTATAAAACTAGGTATAAATAAAAAAAATTACCAAATTGATTTATTTGATCTAGTGTATTTTTACACAGTTACATAAATTACTTAAACATGTCTTATGTTGTGTATTGTCAAATTAAACTTATTTTTTTTAAGATTAAGTTTTAATAATGGCTTATGCCCTATTCAAATGCTGAAATGGCCAATATGGTTTACATTTATGGACTTGCAGATGAAAATGGCACTGAAGCTAGGCGAATTTATATGGAAAGATTTCTAACTCCAAATCCAAGAATGTTCAGAAATAGAAATGTTTTTCAACGTCTTTCGGAGTCAGGCTTATTTCAGAAAGGTCCAATTCTTGGAAGACCTTTGAGTGTTAGAACACCTGAGTTGGAAGAAGCTATTCTACACGAAATTGAAGACCCAAATACTATAGTATTAGGAAGATCGCTGCAAATCTTAATGTGAATCATAAATTAGTTTGGTCCGTTCTGAACAGTTATACCCGTATCACATACAAAAGGTTCAAGCCTTACTATCGCCAGATTATCCTGCTTGCCTACAATTTTGCCACTGGGTTTTGCAAAAAATTGAACAAAATGTTGACTTTATCGCTGGCATATTGTTTACCGACGAAGCTATTTTTTCCAGAGATGCTATAATGAACTTCCACAATAAACATGATGGAATTTCGAATTCAACATCAGTTTTCTATGAGTGTATGGGTGGGTATTATTGGAAATTTTATTGTTTTTCCTATGCTCTAAGAGAAAGAATGTGATTTATGAACGACGGGGCTCTCGCACATTCGGTAATAACGTAATTGGAAAGGCACTCAAGAACCAGAGGTTAACTTTGGCCTTCCAGATCACCCGATTGAACCCTATTGATTTTTTTCTTTGAGGACAAGACATTAGTTTACAAGGATCACATTGAATCTGAGGAGCACTTGCGTTAACAAATTAGCTAGTTGTGATGTGATAAGAGCACTCCTGGAATTTTTGCACGTGTTCGAGCTGCAATTTCAAGAAGATCTGAAGCATATATTTAAGCAGAAGATAGCCATTACCAACATTTGTTATAATAAATTATAGTAAATTAATTCCATTGTTAATTAATTATTTTGTTATTATTGTAAGTATCATAGAAATGCACTTGATCAAATAAATCAATTTTGTTGTCTATCGGTTTGTAATACAAGAAAGTGTAAAGAAACAAAAAATGAAGATAATACAATGGCGCATATGATGACCTATGTTGCATGTAATATTATACAGGGTGATCATTTTTTTTGTTGGCAAGTAATGATCGATGATACCCACACCGCCGCCACTAGTAAGTTTCTAAAGCTGGTAACTTTTTGTTTCATACCTACTGTCATACTAAATAAGCACACCGAATTTGGTTAAATTATCTCGAGCGGTTTAGAAATTAAAAATTGTTTTTCTTTTAATGTTTGACACGCTGTAGCTGGAGAATGGCTGTCCTAAGACCCCACATTTATATAACAAAAAACCCTTATTTTTGTCCACAGAATACTCCCCTGAGTCCCCTGACCTCTACTTAACAAACACCCTGTATAGTCTACCACCTACCTCCTTCCTACATTGACTGTTAGTTCCAGAAAATAAATGTTACATCAATCGTAGTTGATTATGATTACCAAGTTATTTTGTTGTAAAGTTGTTTTTCATCGCACACATTGAACGTGCCAAAAGGTCCGGTAAATATGAGACGGTAAGACAGAATTTTAGGTAAGTTTATACGAGTATCGGGTATTCCCATAAAAATATTAATTAATTATAAGGTTATTGCGATTAAGAATTATTTTTATCAAGATTTATCAACATATCTGTTATAAGGACCAATTAATTAATCTATCACATTTACGGTCAATGTTCCAAGAACACACACGTCGTCCTCAAATAAAACTTATAGATTAAATTCTTCAGTATTTTTTCAAAGATTACCTAAATAAAAATGTGTTTCTCTGACTGGTTTTAATACACTTCGGATATATTGTGGATATAGGTTTACCATTGAAAATTAAATTGACTATTTATTGAATTAATTATAAACTCCTCTTCGAACCCTTACGATGATTTAATTTAAATAATACTGTAATTGATTTAAGATTACATTAATAGAGATTATATTCTTAGAACTGATATACGCTAGTGTATTATTATCACACTAAACCAATGTTTTGTGGTAAATTTATATATAGCTGAAATAAAAACCAAGACTAAACAACACCTAATCATAATGTTAAAATAAGTGTAATTTAATAACTTTATCCTCTTTCAGTTTTTCCACAATTCCAACATACCCTTCATTCTTACTAAAATCACACTGCATACTATTCACCCTTAAATAAAACTACCTTCTTATTTTAGTTAAAAGACTGTATGTGTAGAAAAATGTGGTTTTATATACCCTTTGACTTAATATAAATATTATGAATAAAGAACACGGTACTCTTCAGCAGACCAAGATTTGGATATGGTCTCATCAATGTCACATTTGTGTAACCTAAAGTTTAGTGAACATTGAGCTGATATAACTTTTCATCTAAAGGTTCCACAAAACAACTATGATTAAAAGATCACTTACAAATGATAGGCTATGGTGAAGTGAGATCATGAATTCCAATATTTTTCCAATCACTGACCACTCAAGTCAGTTTGAAATATCAAATTGCTTTCTAGAGATGTTTCTTGGTGTTATCAAAACACGAACCGATCCAGGAACACTGATTTTAGATTCGTTTTCAGCGGGTTCAAAAAACTATGGGATACACACTGATCTGGTCGACGACCCAGCACGTTTTTCCTTTGTGGTGCTTTTGTAATAGTAATAATAAACGGTGAGATGCTGTTTAGGCATGTTCTATTTAATCCTTCATTACAGGAAATAAGTGTCCAACTAATTTATATTTTAGTACGTGTTTTCTTACATAGATATGCTGCCTAAACAGTCCTTGATCTTAATGTTAGAGATTTTGTTTTATAAACATACCGAGTAAGCATAATAAGAATAGTTAGTATTTATGTATTTGTATATTAGAACAATATTAAGAATGGGTTCTAGGATAGTATACAGGGTGATTCAGAACTTATCCAAAAAATAATAATTTTGGATGTTCAGGGGACCCTTATAAATACAGTTTTGTAAAGAAAAAATCAAAAAGGGCAGTTCGAAAATGATTTAAAAATACACTTCTGCACGGCACTGGAAACTGGTCTACTGTAAAACCTGACCTCGCACAATACGACCGGCATGGCGGTGTGATAAAAACGGACAAACACTTTCGCAAGGAAAGAAATATGTAAATAGAATTTTATCGCACCTATTTTATATCGGCAAATTCAACTGCTTTTGCTTTAATTAATTAATAAAATTAAACTGTGTTATTAAATAATAAAATCATATGACATACCCGATGTTACAACAATTGTTCAAAATTTTTCTCCACCAACGTGTAAACACATTTGGTTCCGTCTTACTCAGTTTCTACGAATTAACACAA